AGTGGCTTGACTGTATTTTGTGGGTGAAATGTGCAGCCAGTGTGAATTGAGTGACCAATTAATAAACAATTTTTTGAGGGATTATTATCCCACGAAAAGCGATCCACCAATCGACTAACAACTGGGTTCCTACTTACTTACTGCTAGGTAAGCAGAGGTATGTGGAGTAAGGAAACTTGCCTACGGTTTGGCCCGCCTGGGAATCGAACCTGCGTCTCTCGCTTGTGAGACGAGTACGCTAACTAAGCACTGCACTACGGTTACGTTAATATTTTTGTGAATATGATATTTTGAGCAACTCTCTGGCTGTAACCAGCACATGTGTTCCAGGGAAACATCAGGAGGGTATCCCTGATAGTAAAACAAGACAATGTTACCTTGGAATGGACTGCAAAAAAAAAACAGCAATCCTCATCTCCAATGACATCTCGGGGCAGATATCAGGAAATTGTAGCAACACCAGCACAAGAGTGAAATAACATGTCCAAGAAACCGAGTATGAGATAATCAGTCTCATTGCAACGTCAGATGCAACTTACACCCAGGAAGGCTGTGCAAGAACAACAACAACAAATTACATTTATATGTATAGTTGTTGTATAGCACCTTTCACGTCAGGAGGACATCCCAACTTGGACAGTCAGGGATCCGCACCCGAGCTGGTGATTGATCAGGAGGGGTGGAGGGAGGGTTAGGTGTAGGAGGGTGACTGAAGGCACGGTCGAAGAAGAGGGTCTTGAGATGGGTCTTGAAGGAAGCAAGCACTCTAGTTGCTTGTTTTAGATTTATCTTCAGTAAAAATAACTATAACCTTAAGATAACTAGCCTTCTTCATTTGGTTTTAAAAATGTGCAGAGTTAGATAGCCTCATTGACAAGACTTGGAAAGGCAGAGAATCATCCCACTCAGTTCCTGTTAACCCTGCAAGCCAAAGCCCTAACAGGTAGGGTGGTCCCAGCTGTACAAGCAGTGGGAAAGCTTTCCAGACAGCGATATCAATGGCAAGCTATGCGGTTTTAGTTCGTCAGACTCTAGCAGTTACCCCGACGCACACTCTGGGGTCCCCAAGGCTTGATTGGAAAACATTTCACGCCCCCCACCTCCTCCATTGTTTTTTCTGTTGGATTGAGTTGCACTATGTACAGATAATCCACTGTAAATCCAGGTTACTTCAATGAGGAAAGCTTCTGCGATCCATGCAGATTATTCTTAAGAAGGTATAATACTCTATAGTCAGAACACACCCTGTTGAGCTGAGAGACAATTCTGAACTGATACATTCCTCACATTTTTCACGCTACCTGTACAATGCAGTAGAAATGAAAGTGAGGATTCAGATGGTAAAAATCCTCCTCAGTGGGACATGAGATTGGTGATATTGGCCATTAAAACAATTTCCCATTATTGTCTCTGCCTTTTGGCTAAGATCAAATGTAATTCTTTGCTTATCAATTATTCCCTGAACTAACAACTGCCTGAAAACTTCCCTGCTGAGGATTGTTTGTGAAGGACTAGCAAGACCTATAATGTCAGAGATTAAGGAAAGGAATGATTTCAAGAATACGAACCGTAGCTTTCTCATGGAATAACATCCTACCCAAGAATCTGATTTCACTCCAAGAGTAGGCATTCCCAAGAATGTGTGGGCGACAACAACAACAACAAGATTCCATTTATAGAGCGCCTTTCACGTCCGGAGGACGTCCCAAGGCGCTGTACAGTTGGGTCAGGACCCGAGCAAGGGGGGGAAATGGTCAGGGTGAGGAGAGGGAAGGGAGGGAGCGAGGAGGGGGTAGAGAGTCAAGAGGGGAGCTGAAGGCACGGTCAAAGAGAAATTCTCAATTTACACAGAATGTTGTTTAGTCACAGCATGTTACTGATCAAACAAACGCTGTTGCTTTTCAGACTCTTTGAACCTAAAGGGCTTGTCTAAGGATGAGCTCCCTTTATTTCAACCCCAGCCCAAGAGGAGCTTGCAGACATGCCTGATTCATGCCCAACAATGGATAATGTATTTACCAGGTCTTAACTGCAGTTAAGAGGGGATTTATGTTAGTGTCTCTGTTTTATTGTGAATCATCATTGGCATCAAGAGGTAAGCTCTTTGATTTGACCTCAATGAGTCACCACCTTCAGAATCGATTGGGACGTTTAAAAGGGAGAAAAATAATACTCCTTACATGAGGAACAGTGCGATTCGCGTCAGGAGGACGACCCTTAGAGCTTCGCAGGATATTCTGTAAAGTGCAGTGACTGTGTGGTTTATGGGCGAACGCCCACAATAGATGATAATAATAATAATCCTTGCATTCAATATAGTGACTTATCTTGTCGGTGAGACGTATCAAAGTGTTTAAAGAATACAATGTAAAGTGAATTGATTGCATATTTTGGGGTCAAAATGCGGCAGACAATTGCACACAGCAGTGTCCCACAAACAATTGTGGATTGAGTGGCAGAATGTTTTTTTTATTAACCCCAGAAAGCAATCTGCCAACCTACTAACAACCGGGTTCCTACTTACTGCTAGGTAAACAGAGGCGTGTGGAGGAAGGGAACTTGCCAAAGATTTTTTTTTGCCTACGAATTCATGGATACTTCTCAACAAAGGATTATGGAGAAAGGGAATTTAAAGATCTGCTGTGATCTAATAACATAACTGATTCAATGAGCTGAATGGCCTTCTTGTGTTCCTATATTCCTATGTCCATCTTGTAATGAAACCTAACATCACTGTTGGGAATGTCAGTCACAGTGATTTGTGGAATGGGAGCACTGCAATGCAAAGTAAAACAATAATTTATATCAGTTGTCTTAAGTGTGTGGCAGCCCAGTATGTTGTTCTACTAACAGATTACATCTCAACAGGACAACTTTAAGGTATTCAAGGTCTGTAATTGCTCCACCACCAATAATAATAACAACATTTGATGTAGCGCCTTATCACGTCACTGAGAAGTCTCAAGGAGCTTCACAGGATATACTGTAAAGTGGAGTTAAAGTGGAGTAAGGGAATGACTCAGGCCACTTTTGTAAATGATAAGAGAGCTGAAAATGAAGATAATCTCGCTCCAGGATCTTAAATTTGCATTATTAGCGCACAAAATTTACAGTTAATTTGCTTTACCGTTTATTCTGCGAAGCCCTTTGAGAAGTCTCGAAGAAGTAATAAGGCAGTGTATCAAATGCAAGGATTATTATTATTATAGGTGGATTGAGCTCTGGCAACAGTTTTGCCTTCAGCCCTCTGTTGGTTGGTTTTGGTATTCCAGCAGTGGAAATTCTGGAATGCAGAGCTAGTTTTAGCAATTTGTCACTAGGCTCACAGATATATAATAATAATAATAATATAATATACTACATGAAGGACATTTCAATGTCCTGACTGCACTCAAACTGAACCTACAGCCTTCTTACTCAGAGTCGAGAGTGCTATAAACTCAGCCAGTTACCCTCTGAAGCCATGGGGTGAAAGTTACAATGTTTGAATAACAAGAACGATGATGACAACTTGCATTTATATAGCACCCTCCACGCCGGGCGGCGTCTCAGAGCGCTTAAACAACAACAAATTACATTTGTATATGCTTTTCATGTCGGGTGGATGTCCCAAGACATTGTACTGTCATGGATTAGGATCTGAGCAGGGGGTTGGGATTAGGAGGGTTGGAGGGCAGGGAGGATTGAGGCTAGCTGAATGCACATAAGAAGAGGGTCTTGAGATGTGCTTTGAAGGAGACAATTAAGAGAACAAGACGAAGGAACTGGGGGATAGAGTTCTGAAGGGTGGTGGCAGAGAGGCTGAAGGCCTGACTGTCAATGGTGGGGTGGGCTGGGTGGGGGACATGGAGCAGGCTGGAGCCTGGTGAGTGGAAGGAGTGGGCAGGTTCATATGGGTACACTTACTAGTTTCATGACAAATACTATGGACCACATTGAATCTGTTGAGAAATGGTGGGTTTTCAGTCGGTAATTTTACTGGTATCAGATCCACAAATTTGTTACCACCATCTCTTCTACTGCCCTCAAATACCAGAGATCTGAGTGCATTTTCTCTGGTGGTTTTGCTATCGCAACATTTCAGCCAAAAGGAAAGCAAAACTGAAGATGGAGACCAAACGAATGGCTGGCACAGCAAAAAAATGAGACAAACAGATGAAAAGTATTCAGGCTCATGGAAGAAAGTTGAAAAACAAGACAAACGTTTGTAACAATGTTTAATAGAATTGTAATGAATATCACCTTATTCATTGTTTCAATGTTCTTGTTTCCTGCCATAATACCGGATGGAATAAGTTTTCAAAGTGACAAACCTTGTGCAGTGAGCAAGGCCAATCTGCCAATTCCAGCTCGGATCATTCTGGTACAAAGCCAATATTTGGTCTGTTCAAAACCTCAGAGATTTATTGGGTTCATGGTGTGATTTCAGATTGTGGAGGAGGGGTTTACTGATTTGAGATTGGGGGGATTTGTCAAGAACAGCATTTACAATTGAGGTGGTAATAAGAATACTGCTTACATATGATCCAGCATCTTTCACATTGGGAGGACGTCTCATAGAGGTTTTACTGTAAAGTGTAGTGATACTGTATTTTGTACCACTTCCCCCACATGTAACATTAAAGGATTCGGGGATCAAGCAGAGAAGGGAATTGCAACAGATAGCCCCAGCTGGAGAGCTAACACAGACTTGTTGGACTGACTGAGCTCCATTGGTGCTATAAGCATTCAGTGCCTCTAACTATAATGAGAATCGTGCAAATCCCATTTCCGTCCATCCGACAGAGGAAAATAGACATGTTTTTTTATTTCTGCCGTTTCTCCATTTATTGCAAACGTCAATTTTTTGAGCGCTTCTGCCCCGGGGAAAGTTGGGAACAAAACAATAACGTTTGTTATCTGTAGCTGCTTGCAAGCTGTCACCATCCATTCTATTTGTAGCTTTTGCAAATCTATAAATGGCAAGTCAGACTCGCTGGCCAATTATCACTCGTGCTGCCTGACAAGGGTTTTTGTAGAGGGTTCTTTCAGAATGCTGGAACAATGCAGGTGTCTGGAAAAGTTCCTCGGGAGCTCGGCAAGATCGCTGGCAGTCACCGTGTGGACTCCGCAGAGAGTACAGCTGAAGGGACTTTGGTGGAAACGCTGATGGTAAGAAAGTAAAAATGTGTTGACGTTAGTCATGTTCTATTTGTAAGGTAGTCCTGAGTCCTGGGTGCAGCTGTTCCTGAATGAGAAACTGTCACTGGGGGCACAGAGCTGTGTCCTTATGGGCACCACTGTTCTGCAGCTTGTGCCCTTGAAGATTCGCAGATTTCTCAGTCTTATGGACGTACGGTGTCTGTAAAGGTAAGTTTTGGTGAATAGAATTTGTTCACTTCGGTAGTGGAATTAAAGTAGATCAGAGATACGGTATTAATGACCTTGTGTCTTGTACAAGAGCTTTCTAATGGTGACCTTTAATGGAGTTGTCTCCCAAGCTCTGCATGTGAGGCTAATGCAGAGGTAGATCATATATACATATATATGCACAGTCTGTTTTTTGTTGTATCGGAAGAGTTAACTTGAACGTTTCTAAGAGGAACTATAAAATGATTAAAAATAAATGCTTCTGCGATCTGTTCATTTTTGAACAGCAGTGAAAACTTATACAGTAATAATAATAACCCTTGCATTTGATATTGCCTTATCATTTCTTGATACGTCTCAAAGGGCTTCACAGAATATATTGTAAAGGGAATTGACTGAGTATTTTGTAGGCGAAACACAGCAGCCAATTGTACACAGCAGTGTCCCACAAACAGTCATGGATTGAGTGACCAACTTTTTTTTTGGAAGGGATTATTACCCTTGGAAAGTGATCAACCAATTGACTAACAACCGGGTTTCTACTTGCTGCGAGGTAAACAGAGACGTGTGAGTAAGGAAACTTGTGGTTTAAGGTTGTGCCCTGCTCGGGAATCCTTAGCAACTGATTGCTTGTTTTCCATAAAACATGTTTGAAAGCTGGTGAAGGTTTAATGTGTTACAGAACAAAACAAAAGTTTTATATTTTTTGTTGAAAAAAATTGGCAAAAAATTCAATAAGTACTTTTTTCTTTAAACAACATTTTCCGATCATAGTTGAGATGAGTATCATTGTTTAGTGGGTTACAAGTCTCTCCTGCTAGGAGAGATACCTTGAGTTTCACCCTATACAGTCTGTCTGGCTTTTTGCAACCTTTCCTCCACTGGACTTGAATAACAACAACAGTAATATTACATTTGTCCAGCGCCTTTCACATTGGGAGGACGTCCCAAGGCGCTCGACAGTCAGTGTTTTGGACCCGAGCTGGGGGTCGGGATTGAGGAGGGTGGAGGGCAGGGGATGAAGCAGGGTGATCGAAAGCATGGTCGAAGAGGAGAGTCTTGAGATGGGTCTTGAAGGAGGCAAGGGAGGAGGCGAGGCGGAGGGACTGTGGGATGGAATTCCAAAGTGTCAGAAGGCCCACCCACCAATGGTGGGGTGGCGAGGCGGGGGACATGAAGAAGGCCGGAGCCCGCTGAGTGGAGGGAGCAGGCAGGATGGTTCGGGGTTAGGAGGTTGCAGATGTAGGGGGGTGCAAGGCCATGGGGGGCTTTGAATGTGAGGACCAGGATCTTGAACTGCATCCTCTGTGTGATGGGAAGCCAGTGGAGTCAGGTGGGGATGGGAGTGATAGGGTCATGCAGTCTGGTGTGGGAGAGGACATGAGCTACAGAGTTCTAGAGGAGTTGGGGAGGCCGACAGCAAGAAGTTTGCATAGTCAAGCCTTGACATTATGAATACATGTAATAATCATAAACAGGCCGAATGGACCTTGTTCTAATGTCTCAAAGTACTGTACTGGGGTAGAGGGGATCCTAGGAAGATCCTTTGCGTTATCATTAATAGAAATTTAGACACTGAACAGTACAAGATAACAGTGAAGGCAGCATCCTGAGGGGTCACTATTCAAGGAACCAATTTGACCTCTGCCCACAACAATTGTGCTACACAAACATATTGTTCTTTTCTGGGCTGCAGAAATCAGTTTGAGTACAACTGCTTACACTCAACTCAACTGATTTGGCATCCTGTTTTGTCTCACATTGTTTATTCTTGCCTCACACTGTCTTGACAGAATGAGCGATGAGTCAATTAACACCCGGAGATCTCTTTCGGCTTCCCCTGAGGCAAGTTCTCATCCATGAAGTACTTGTCTTTCTTCTTAGATGCTTTGCATTTCTCTGTACTGAAATTCATTTCCGATCATTAGCCAATGTGCATTCCCTACTAGGCTCTCTTTGTGAGACCTTTGCTGCGTCTCTGATTGCACAGTTCCACAGGATCACAATTTGGATGATGAAGGCCCTTCAGCCCATTAGATCTTATCTCTCCAGAATATCCAGCCTACCGTCCTCCGTATCACAGCATCAAGCTCCTTTTTAAATGAATACAATGACCTGGCCTCACATCAGCTTGGTCTCTTGTGATCTCTCTGTCTCAGAGCAGGACAACAAACACTAGAGGCAAGCTTCGTTATAGTTTGATATCTAAGGCAATGATTAAATAAATAATATTGTCCGCAGTGCCACTTTCAACACATTTCTATGTGCATTCAGTACCACTTTAATCTTTCATTTATATAGCAATTTTCACATTAAAATAAATTCTCTAAGCTCTTTGTGGAATATAGTAGATCTGAAATGGAGTCATTGTTTTTACGTAGGTCAACATGGTTGCTAATCTGCTCCAATAATATTTCACAAACAATTGTAGCTTCAATTCCATACCACTCCTGAAGAGTTTTTGTATTAAATGGCTTTACATGCAATCCATCAGTAGCATGCTTTCCTGCTGCGTGTTTAGCTAGCACCACCATATCCGTTAGAGCTTTAGCTTGTAGGGTTAACAGTAGCTGAGTGGGAAGACTCCCTGTCCCCAGTGACTGTTCTGCCCTTCCAGGTCCTGCCAATGAGCCAGACTGACTGTTCTGTTATCAGCAGTGCACAGGAATACTGTGGACCTGCTTGGCTCAGTTGTGGACTACCGAGACTACCACAGAGGGCTGACTCTATTCTGACATTTCATTGCCAGGCATGTCACTCTGTAGCTAGTACGGTTTCAAACAGACCCTGCTCACCCTCACCTCCCACCTTCCCTCTCCCCAGAGAATAGTTAATCCACGCAATCCAATTGCAATCCCCACACATTTGCCAACTCACTTCCGAGGTTTGATAGGCTCCGTTGGGCGAGTATAAAAGATTCAATGCTGTCCTCCTGACAGGAAAGAGGCTATACAAATATAATTTGTTGTTGTTGTTACTGTTGTCAGTTTCTCTATGTTTGCATCCACCCATCCACCTGCATCGCAAGGCATTAAAATCCACATGGATGCAAGGAAACTAAAATTCTGGCTACAGCAAGATATTGTTGACAGCTAATTTGCAAGTTATTTGTCACAAGTAAATAGCCTTGTGACATTACAATGCTTTTGAGAATTGGAAACTTAATCCCTGTCACTGCAGTGACTGTTTCTCATGATAGTCATTTTTAATAAAAAAAATTTACCTTTCCAGTTGATCTCAGAAAAGAGAAGGTATGGGTTCAGATTCATGGTGTGAAGAAGCAAAGATGCTTGGCACAGCACCTTCCTTGGATTCGTCTGTGAATTGCTCTTTGATTTAGTACCAAGAATTCAGGAATTTGATGCTGGGTCTAAACTTGAACCTGCTGCTTTCTCTATTTAATTACACAGTCTGCTGCTAACGTTACTGTTAAGATGATTCCTGAAAGTGTGACACTGTCTGGGTAGATCAGATCTCAATACAAAATGTTTACAACAACACCAACAGCAGCATTTTGCATGTGAAGCATTTTGATGCGCTTTGACATTATAGGTGCAATAATTTTTATTACCTTACACCTGTAGAGAACCATAGGAATTTATAGGCATTCAGCCCATCATGTCTGCATTGGTTCTTTTAAGAGCAATCCATTCAATCCCATTTACCTGCCATTTCCTCATACCCCTAGAGTTTACTCCTTTGTATCTACTCCTTTTTCTCCTTTTGAAAGCTAATATGGATATAACACTTTCCACGTGGCATGGGATAAACCTCTAGAAGATGCTTCTCAGAGACGATGAGGTAATTGAGTTGAGAGGAAAGGATGTGGAAAGTAGAATGTTGACGAAGGAGATATTTTGAGGGCAGCGAGAGAAGGAACAAAAGGCATAAGAGATTTAGGAAAAGAGTTCCAGAGAGTAGTGGCTTAAGGCTTGGACGCTGATGGTGGGATGGAGGAAATGAGGAATGAATAGTATAAAATGAACGAATAGAATAGATTGTAGAGTCTGAAGCTCTGAGGTTAGAGCAGTCGCCTCGCAAACTAGAAACCTAGGTTTGTTTCCCGGCAGGATGAAATATTGGGCAATTTACTTACTCCACATGCCTCCATTTACATAGCAGTAAGTAGCTAATTCCTTCAATAAAAATTGGTTACTTCAATCCACAACCATTTGTGGGACACTGCTGTGCACAATTGGCTGCCACATTTCGCCCACAAAATACACAGTCAATTCACTTTACAGCATATTCTGTGAAGCGCTTTGAGACGTCTCAAAGTTGTGATAAGGCGCTATATTAAATGCAAGGATGATTATTATCAGAGTTCAAGGTGTGGAGGTGACAAAGGTTGAGAAAATAATGGAGGAATCAGGGATGTTTAACGAGAGTTGTACAGAATAGCAAACATACAGCTATGTCAGTTTAACTCGGTAATAGGACAGCTCTCCCAATTTCAACACAAGTCCCCTGTTGTCAGTGAGGGTCAGTGCAGGCTCGAAACACTAGGAATGCCAGTGTCTTAATAATCCTTGCATTTGATATAGCGCTTTTTCACAATCTTGAAATGTCTCAAAGCGCTTCATAGAATATATTGTAAAGCGAGCTGACTGTGTATTTGGTGGGTGAAAAATGGCAGCCAATGGTCGTGGATTAAGTGACCATCCTGATCATTCTTATCCTGATATGATGCCGAGGTCATTTGTCTGATATTTTCTTTCTTGAATTTTTTTTTACAACACAGTAACTCTCGAGGGCATTTTAAGAGCCAACCGTGTAATTTGGATTGGATAAGGATGGCAGATTCCTCTTTCTTTTCTGACCCCAAACAATCCAGTTTCCTCCATTACCTTTATCCATTAAAGTTGCCGTGCAAATATAGTCCCCTGGACTTGCAGTCTTTGCTTCCGGTCACCCAATTCCTCTACGTTTATTGTAACACAACGGAGAAAATAAACTGAACGCTACAGAAAATAATCTCTTTAAAAATAACAACATTTCAGCTGGCATTGGTTGGACTGTTAAAAATAAATCTCGCTAAAGTTGAAGAAATAGTCGGTGAAAAGCACAGGTTGTCCTAGGAGCTATTTTGGGGCATGAGCAAAATGGATATTATGTGGCTCATTGCTTCTGAAATCTCAGACAATATCATATTTTACTGTCCTAACCCAAGCTGTTTACTCAGCGAAGAAGCAAAGCAGCAAATAGTGTAGAACGTTCAGTGACCTTTAAGTTTATCAGCGCTTGGAATTGGAGTACATATCCAAATTAAGGATTTGAAGTTCTCCTGATACTCAGTGAACATGCTTTCAAAACTTGGAGTGATTTCTTTTGTTCGTCGAGTGGCTTTATCTTTGTGCCAGTTTTCCGACTCTAGGACAAGTTGAAATGTATTGAGACGGGCTAAAAGTATTTTTTTAATTATGAGGCATATTAGGTAAGGAGGGTACATTTCTCTAGCGAGAAAGTGGAAATACTATATTGAACTCTCAATCTGCTTTGGATGTTCTTAAGTGTGGTGATGGGTTTCTGTATATGTCAGACACCCGGCTGACCAAAAAACTCATTGAGTTTCCAACAATTGTTTTTCATTATCTTTTATCCCCACAAAATCGTAGATTGCATTCACTGCCAAATCTTCCTGGGGTGAGGGTTGTGTTGGGTAAGTGGGATCTTCTTAGACCTGGCACCAATGTGACAGATGTGCTTAGTAACAAAATGTTGGAATTGAGTTACCCTTCCCTGAGAGTCTGATTTCTGAGCCAGGCAGGTCCGTGAGTACTCCAGGGTACTGCTGATGACAATCCAGTGAGCCTGGCTCTTTGGCAGGACTTGGAAGAGCAGACCATTGGGAGTCTGGATTCTTCCAATTCAGCTCCTGTTAGCCTTGCAAGCCAAAGCCCTAACAGGTAGGATGGTCCTAGCTGGACAAGCAGTGGGAAAACTTGCCAGACAGTGCTCTCAGTGGCAAGCTGTGCAGTTTCAGACAATTACACTCCAGCAGTACCCCAACAATTAATCTGTGATCCCTAAACCTTGTTTCTTGCTAGCCTGTGTCCAACACTCCGGAATTAGGTAAGGAGGGTGCATCCCTCCAGCGAGAAGGTGGAAATTTTATATTGAAGGTGCCATATAAATATGGAACTCTCAATCTGCTTTGGATACTCTCAAGTGTGGTGATGGTTTTCTGAATGTGTCAGATACCCGGCGAAAGAAATGCCACATCACCCGATAAGCATAAAGTAGTTTGATTATTTTGTTTGTAAAACTAAACTATTACAACGAAAAATGTACAAGGTTGCTTTTCTCCCAGCTCAGTCACTAGTAGTTGCTCTGATGTGACAGCTGCTGTTTTGCTTTGCCTGTCACTCCAATTATGATGGCTTACTGTGATGTTACCAGATCAGGGAACACTTGAGAGAAGGTCATCAAACCCACATCTTTCAAGTGGCAGTTAGCCACTTGTGCAGCATGATCTGAGGTCTGAAATTTCTCATGGCTTTAGCCCTAAGACCATTGTCTTAAAATAATAAAATAATAACAATTATCTTTGATATAGCATCTTATCACATCTTCGAGACGTGTCAAAGCGAGAGATGAAAACTGAAAAACACCTACTGAAAGTGATCCACCAATCGATTAACAACCAGGTTCCTACTTACTACTAGGTAAACAGAGGCATGTGGAGTAAGGAAACTTGCCTAACGTTTTGCCTTGCCTGAGAATTGAACCCAGGTCCTCTTGCTTCCGAGGCGAGTGCTTTAACCACAATGCTACAGGACCCCATAAAATGTTAAGATTGTGCAGTGTTTTCCCTTTAAGAACTTCAGAAAAGTGGCTTCCAACGTAAGACTGAAATTAAGAATTATCGATAATTTTGCATGATAATAATAATAATAATCCTTGCATTTGATATAGCGCTTTTCACGTCAGGAGGACGTCCCAAAGCGCTTCACAGAACACACTGTAAAGTGAATTGACTGTATATTTGTGGGCGAACGCGGCAGCCAATTGCGCACAGCAATGTCCCACAAACAGTCGTAGATTGAAAATGACCAATTTATTATTGTTTTTGGTTTTGGAGGGATTATTATTAGGAGTGTGGAGTAAAGAAACTTGCCCAAGGTTTCGCCCTCTGCCTGGAATTGAACTCAAGTCTCTCGCTTGCAAAGCGAGTGCTCTAATTACTGAACTACAGGACTCCGATCTAAATAATAATAATAAAAAGGTTGCATTGAAATAACAATTCTTGTATTTGATACAACACCTTATCACTTTATCGAAACATCTCAAAGAGTGCCACAGGATTTACTCTAAAGTGTATTGACTGTATTTGTAGGGGAACATGACAGTCAATTGTGCACAACAACATCGCACAAACAGTGGGATTCAATATAGCGTCTGTCATGTCGTGGAAATTTCAATCAAGAGAAAACTTGAGACACATTGATTAATTGAACATGACTTAACTTAACTACACTAGTGTGAATGGTGGGGGGTTGCTTTCACTTCTGATCCATGTGCCACTGGTTGCCCCCCGTTGCTGTATAGTGCACTGATGTATTTGTAGACAAATCCAGCAGTCAATTTGTGTCAATTGAGTTAATAATGTCCCCCGAACAGACATTAAATGAATAATCAATTTAGTTAGAAGATTGTTGTCCAGGACACCGGGAGAAACTCCATTCTCTTTTCAAATAGTGTCATGGGATTGTTAATGGCTACCTGAACAGGCAGATGGGACCTTGGTAAACATCTCCTCTGAAGGATACCACCTATTATAAAGCAGTACTTCCCCTAGAGTGTCAATCTAGAATTTGAGTTCAAAGTCTCGAAGTAGGGATTAAACCCATAGCCTTCTGCCTCTGAGGTTAGAGAGTCCTAGACTAAGCCAAGTTGGCTTTTATCAGCAGTGAATGATTCATGTTAGAGAGACTGTTTTGTTTTAACGGCAAGTAGGAAAAGAGCTAAGATTAAAGCCACCTGTACACAGACATACTGTGCAATTGAAAACAGATAGCAATGCCAGTGTTATACCTATGATGCCAATTTCTGAGATAGGAACAACAACTTGCATTTATATAACACCCTTCATGCGGGTAGCATCTCGGAGCACTTAAAGGCGTGCCAAAACACGTTAAGACTTGCTGTATTGGCCACCAGCACCGACATCCATGGAATAGTTAAATAGTATGGTGTATGTGTATTCCTGCAATTTTGGTACAGTGAGATTCTCCAAGGGGATTCCAGCAAGTGAAAACGTTACCCAGATCGGGAAGATAAGCATTCCAACGCAATTCCATCTGTATCCTGTTAAGCTGCATTCAAGTGTTGCCTCCAGGACATTATATTCTACCTAGAACCTGTTGCGAACCTTCACTCCATAACGTTCAATGGGTGTAAATCTACAACTTGTGATTATACGGCACCCTTCACCAGTATAGTATCTTGTAGGCTGCACTTTGGCAGGGTTGGATGCCGAGAAAGGGGGAGGGAAAGGCCGAAGAGGTATATTTAACTACAGGTTTTTTAAGTGTTATTTATTCATAATAATAATAATCCTTGCATTTGATATAGTGCTTTATCACGTCGTTGAGACGTCTCAAAGGGTTTCAGAGAATATATTGTAAAGTAAACTGACTGTGTATTTTGTGGACGAAACACAGCAGTCAATTCATACAGCGGTGTCCCACAAACATTTGTGGATTGAGTGACCATATTTTGGGGGTGGTGGGAGAGGGGTTGGAGGGATTACTACCCCCGAGTTGTGGAACTTGCCTAAGGTTTTGCCGCACTGGGAAAGAAATCTGGGTCCTCTCTCTTGTAAGATGAGTGCGCTAACCACTACTCTATGGGTCTCTGTAGTGGGGTGTGGAAGGGATTAATGCAGGATTAGAGAGGGGGTAGAAAGGTTGCATTAATACAACCATCAGGGGGGAGCGATATTAGCTGCTCTGCAACAGAGAGGAAGTGGCTACATCACAGGTCCCACCACTGGCTGAGCTCCCATCCTCTCCGCCCTGAAAGATGATCACTGGCACTCTCTGCGAAACTCAATGCAATAAAATATCCCACTGGGCAATCGCAACTGGTGCGAAGGAAATGCCATTCCTTTACTTTGAACGTTCTGCTTGTTTATCTCCCAACAGGATCCTCTTGCCATAAAGACACTGGACGAGGAGCTTCTTGCGATGAAATCAGAGGTGAGTGTTGATGAGAAGTTACTTTGCAGTGGGGTGGGGGGAGGGCGAGTGTGTTTTAAACATCGTGCCGAGCTCAGTTTTCGCTCAGGAGTGGGACGCAGTCAAAGCTTGAGAGTGCAGCTGTTGCCTGGCTTCACAAATTCTATTGATCCTCCTTGAGCCTCCTCATGCCATTGCAGATAAATCAGATTAGAGATCTGATGCAGATGAATTCATGCTTTGTGCGTAGGGAATATCTTTCAAAGCAGTGATACAACCTATCAATTCTTGTACTGCAACTTTCTCTCAAAACAGAGTAGCAAACACAGTGTGCTTGGAAATAGAATTATGCTGTTTGTATGTACACTTGGGGCCCGAAATTCCACCTGGATTCGATTCCTGGGCAGAGCAAAACCTTAGGCAAGTTTCCTTATTCCACGCCCCTGTTTACCAGCAGTAAGTAGGAGTCCGGTTGTTAGTCCATTTGCAGATTGCTTTTCCAGGTGTAAAGGTCACTTCAAAATTAAAAAAATAATAATAATTTGATCACTCAATCCACAATTGTTTGAGGACCACAGCTGTGTGCAATTGGCTGCTGTGTTTCGCCCACAAAATACGCAGTCAATTCACTTCACAGTATATTCTGTGAAGAGCTTTGAGACGGCTCGAAGATGCGATAAGTCGCTATATCAAACGCAAGATTATTATTAACATCGCACAGGACTGTGGAAAATTCTTAATTTCAGTCATAATTTGGGAGTTGGCTTTCTGCAGTTCTTAAAATAATCTGCTTTCAAATTCAGTTATTTAATTATTAAGAATTAATTATTCGTGATTAAGAGCTTCTTTAAGAATTTTCCTCAGTTCTCTTTGGAACTCCATCCCACAGTTCCTTCCCCCGTTCCCTCACTTGCCTCCTTTAAGGCCAGTCTCAAGACCTTTCTCATCGACTGCGCCTTCGGTCACCCTCCTACCCCTACCCTCCCTGCCCTCCACCCCTCCTGATCACAACCCACAGCTCGGGTGGAAATCCTTGACTGTCCAGCACTTTGGGATGTTGATTTCATATTTAAGATGAAATGTGCTTCTGGGCTAAGAGTAGGTGGAAAATTTTGGGCTTGTCTTTTGCCCCCAAGCGTCACTGTAAAATACAATTTAACAATTCATAATTACATTTAGATAGTTGCTTTCACCCCACAAGGACTCTCAAAATGCTTAACAATACTGGCTGGGCACATTTGCTGGGGATGAGAAGTGGTTGTAGACAGGGAAGGGAAAGATGACCAAAAGCATGGTTAAAGTGTTAGGTCTTGAGACAGCCCTTGAACGAAATGAGGGAGTGTGTGAGTTGGAGAAATGAAGCTAATTCTCATGGCACCATTATTCATTGCCTCGCTCTTGGAAAAATACATTGTAATGTGCTTCTCACATACCAGGCAGCCAGTCTCACACATGCAGTCAGTCGAAGAGGCCTAATCGGGAATATTCTCAAAGCAGATTGGTTCTACTCATCGCAAATTCCAGCTTGTGAAACCAATGAAACGTTAGAGGGTTTGAAGTTGATGGATATGGAGGTTAGGGATGCCTTAATATCAACCTCAGTATTTATTAGTTTCTCTGCAACAGAGAGGAACTGGCTATGTTACAGACAGTCTCCCCACTATAATTGGGCCGCCTGGACATAGGGATTGTAGGCCTGGCTCAGTTCCCATCCTCTTCTCCACCAGGTAACATGAGCAAAAGGTCAGTGGGAAATGACTAACTATTTTGCTCGTCTTTGTTTTCCACCAGTCTGCCAAGTAGGGTTGCCTTTCACGAGCCTGTGAATTTCACAAACTGGATGTTATAATATGTTTGGGAGTATAAATAACCTGCATTTGATGAAAAGACGCCTTTCACATCAGGAGGATGTTTCGAAGTGCTTCACAGAATTTTTGCTGTAACATGCAAGGACTGTATTTTGTAGGGAACACTGCAGTTAGTTTGCTCCACAAACAGTCAATGAAGGGAATAAACAATTTTATTTGGGGATTGTTGGCCAGGACACCAAGAGAAATGCTCTTCTCTTTTTGAAGAGTGCCATGGGATGTTTAAGGTTCATCTAAACAGGCAAACACAATGTGTGAAAATTGGCTGCTGCCTTCATCCATATAATGCACATACAGTAAATCCTGTGAAGCCCTTTGAGACATCTTCACAACATGATAAGGCACTATCTCAATGCAAGAATTAAAAAAAATTGTATTTGGTATAATACCTTTCACGTCAGGAGGATGTCTCAAAGTGCTTCACAGGATGTATTGTAAAGTGGAGTTAATTTTTTTTTATGGTGGCAGCCAATTTTTGTGTGTATTTTGCAGGAGAACATACGAGTCCTTGGGCACTGCAATGTCCAACAAAAAGTTGTCAGAAGGATGATCCAAAAGCACTTCACAGGATGTATTGTAAAGTGGAGGAAATGTGTGTTTTGTGGGCAAATGCTGCAGCCAATTTGTGCACAGCAATGCCTCACAAACATGAATGACCAGTTTTATTTGGAAGATTGTTGGCTATAACACTGGGAGAAACTCCTTTTTCGTATTAATACTAACATTATTATCTGATTTAGAGGTCATCCTTTGGGTAACAAAGGTGAAAGATTATGTTTAGGAACCTCTGAAAGTATTCAGTGACATCTTTAAAATAGATTAACTGGAATTACTGACTGCAGTTTACGGTCGCTTATTACTACCAGTGACTGGTTTGTTATCAAGTGATGTCTAATCTATGGTTAGAGCCTAATCTTTCTGGTAAAGAGGCAGGACTTTCTCCACTCCAGTTCCCGTCAATAACAACCCTCGGTCAGATATGTGGCTGCCAGCAAACAGTAATTATCCCAACAGGATAGCCTTAGCAGCCAAAAGGCCTGTCAAATGGAATGCTAGGCTTATATTTACTGTCTATGTGACTGAATGCAAGAGCAATGAGATAATGCTAAATTTGTACTACGTATTAGCAAGACTGTAGTTGGAGTGTTGCATCCAGGTTTGGGCCCCTCAGAATAAAATAGGTGTCTTGTCAAGGCAGGGGTTGGTTGGCGGGGTGGGGAGGCGGGTGTGGAGGGTTGCATTGTTGTAGGTGCCGCCTTTTGGATGAGACGTTAAATCGAGGTCCCATTTGCAGTTCAGGCAAGCGTTAAAGATTCCAAGGCACTATTCGAAAAGAGTAGGGAGTTTCTCCTGGTGACCTGACCAACAATTCCCCAGATAAAATCAGTCGTTCATTTCCCATGGCTGTTTGTGGGACATGGCGTGCGCAAATGGGCTCCTGTGTTCGCCTTCAAAATATAGTCACTCCACTTCACAGTAGTTCCTGTGAAGTACTTTGAGACTTCTGTATGAGCTATATCAAATGCAAGGATTATTATTGTTATTGAAGGGGTCAGTGGTGATTCACAGGGGTTTAATGCAGGAGTTTAAAGTTATAGATATATGGAAAGAATTGAAACTAGAGATGGTTGAGCAGAGAAGTTTAATGCGTTTGAATGCAGGCTTTTAAAATTCAGCTGAATCTCTGATAATAGAGGTTAGTAGATGAAAGGAAGTTTTCACACAAAGCCCTCTTAATATTTAATTTGTTTCTTGACCTTTAGGGGTCCAGGATTGAATACCATGCACTTAGCAGAATTCAAACTGATCGTGCTGCGAAATAAATTCTAGGTCTAGAATCGTTCAGTCATCAAACTTACTTCATTTGCTAATAACCTTATGGTAAGGAGGTTCGGGTGATTTAATCTTCTCAGGTGAGTGCATCACAGTCTAGGCTGACACTTCAGTTGCAGTACTAGTGAAGGAAAGGGTTGAGGGGGGGGACACTGCATTGTTGCATCCTGTAGTGTAGTGGTTGGAGCACTCACCTCGAAAGTGAGAGGACCTGGGTTCGATTCCTGGGCAGGGTGAAACATTAGGCAAGTTTCCTTACTCCACGTGCCTCTGATACCCAGCAGTGAGTTAGTCGATCAGTGAATCACTTTCTGGGGGTAATAATCCCTTCAAAAAATATATAAAGAAATAATAATAATTTTGTCACTCAATCCACGACTGTTTGTGGGACACTTCTGTATGCAATTGGCTGCCGTGTTTCACCCTATATCAAATGTAAGGATTATTATTATTATTAATGAGCTAAGGTTGAGTTCTTTCCCCTAGAGCTGGCAGTTCTGTGGTCTCATAAATTCTATTAGCTGCTGGTTTCAGAGAAGTTTCAGTCATTGCAATGCAATACAATTTACATTTATATAGCACCTTTCACTTCGGGGGGGACATGAACGATTCCCACTTCATTCTCCAGTCAGAAAATAAAGTCAGCCTTGCTATTAGGTTGCCGTGCTGCACCTTTAACCAATGACCTCTGCCTCATTCAAGCTGCTTATAGATATGTTATAAATAGGTGGAACTGTAATATGATAAATAATTCCACAATTGGGCTGGGCTGATAACATGTTGCAGGAAATAAAATACTGGTGACTCATTTGTCATTTCTACGGGCGCAATTATTTATAATTCATAACCCCTTATTCCACCCCCGCTCCACTCTCCACCTCCCCACCCACCCACCCACCCACACGCAAACACACAGGTGGAAATTCAATCTGACTCTAGATTTACTATATTGAAGTCATTTCTCAGAGCGTGAAGAATTTATCAAGTTGTTAAATACAGCCTTTTAAGTTTATTTCTCTCTGCTAAGAATTACATAAAATGGGTTGCAAAGTTAAAACTGAATTTAACAATCTGTCAAATACTGCACACTCTGAAGTGCTATGTTCATAGAATAAATCTAGACCTGGTGGACGTTTACCAGAAGAGCGTTCTATTTATTGCAGTTGTTTGTGCATTGCTGGTGCCAAACCAGCCAGCCTGGCTCAAAGGTAGGACTTGGAGGAGCAGACCAGGTACTGGAAGCAGGCCTTTTTCCCACTTGGCTGCTCTTAACCCATAGTGGCCGCGCTTTCAGCCTCTACGCCCAGATACACTTCCTCT